AAATTGACAGGGAGGGGGGAATAAATTGAAAGGGAGGGAATAAATTGAAAGGGAAGGGAAAGAAATTCACAGGGTGGGTGGGAAGAAATTGACAGGGAGGGGAATTGACGGGGGAGGGAGGGAGAATGAGAGTGGGGAGGGGAGAAGAGAGTGACAACGGGGGAGAAGAGAGTGACAAGGGAGGGGGGAGAAGTGAGTGACAAGGGAGGGGGGAGAAGAGAGGGACAAGGGAGGGAGAGGGGAAGAAGAGCTTGACATCCATCACACACACACACAATGCGCCCCTTACATACAAAGACAATGCACCACTTGCACACAGAAAAACACACAATGCATTACACACACAGACACACACACAAGCAATGCAACCCTTACACACAATGCATACCTTACACACACAGAAACACACAATGCATTCCTTACACACACTCAATGCACCCCTTACAGATGCACACACTCAATGCATCCTGTACATACACAGAAACACACCTTGCAGCCCTTACACATACAAACACAGATTAAAAAAAAAAATTAAGGGCCTTAAAAAAAATTGAGCTGCTTCCCATTCTCCCAGAACATTGATTTTTGTGACCACAGTTACAAACAGCCTCCAGGGAGCCTGTTCTACACCAGACCAGTGGAGCCAGACTGCAGCTAGAGCCCATCATCATCCTCATCTGGTTGTAAGTAGGCAATCTAGTATATTATTCGTGGCACTAATCTCTAGTCCCCAGAACCACTTCAGCTTAATGTAGTGGTTCTGGTGTCCATAGCCTGTCCCTGCAGGACTTTTAATGTAAACACGGCGGCACTGCAGCACTGGGGTTAGTTAACATGGCAGATCATATGGGTGGGGCATTGTGATGTCACATGGGGGAGGGGCGGCGACAAACTTTACGTTTGCCTAGGGCGGCAAAAATCCTTGCACCGGCCCTGATTATAGTACAGATGGCACAGTGATGAAAGAGATGAAGAGGAATAACAAAATAATAAAAGCCTTCTAGCAAATTGAATGTATATAGGTAAAATGGTTTTAAATTACATTTTAGTGCCCTTTAACTACTTTACTATGTGAATCATGCATCCATAATGTATGTTCCCATGCACTGTATTTCAGAATACATAATTTTAGCAATAGTAAATTAACTTTATTTATTGTAAATGAATTTTTTTTGCAATTGATGTGCTGACAGCACAACTATTGCTACCATTATATTGCAAGTCCTGCTATGCCCCCTGCAACTACACAGGTCAGCTCTGCTGAGCACCCTTGTAGCTGAATAGGCTGAATGGAAGATCTATAACCTCTGGATAGGTGCATATTGCTTGTGGGTCTGAGACTTGAAGGGAAAATTCACAAGGGTCAGAACCCAACCACAAGTGCAGACCAGCACTGATAGCCCACCAGACCACTAGAAAGCCTACTTGATCACCATGGAAATGAAGACTCATCCCCTCCCTTTGAAGTACGTCACTGTGTCATTGTTCCTTTATGACCTTTATGTTGTGATGTACTCATACAGCAATTATATTTAGCCTAGCTAAATATAACAATTTGTAACATTGTTACAAACAGCTTGCTGACACAAACTGTTGATCAATTTACAATGTAAAACCTGCACACCCCTATATCCTTTGTGGCATAGAAGGGTACATGGCTAAAATGGATTACGGTTTCCAGAATTTGCTCTATGCCTGGAAGGGAAGCTATTTATTAAAACACAAAAACAATCTTGACAAGTGAGCAGTTTCCTAGACCAGTCATAGCTGCTGGGGAATTACCACCTTTGGACTAGGTGTGGACAATTTTTTTTTTTAAATGTGCCAAAAATATGTTCTTTGATATTTAAGGCTCTGTCTTTACATAAGGAGCTGGGCGTCCTCACCCTACTGCTCTTTAATGTCTTTGTGTCTTCACCCAGGCATCAGGTGACACACTCAGGGCTGCCATCAAGGTATTCTTTAATTAGGGGCCCAGGTACCAGGGCTCTTTAAAACCTATATGACTTTCCCCACACCAGACCACTTTTAACAGAATGGACTTCACATACCTAGCTGTTCCCTTACAGGGTAGTGCTGCACAAGGAGCACATTCACTTTACTTCCTCCTAGCACATGTATAAAGCTGTGCATTGACTTGACCCCAGAGAAACTACCCTCCTGCACACAAAAGGTAGGACTATGTGTGGCTAAAATATACATTTTCTTTTATTTGTTTCAATGTGCCATTGTTTATTTATGGATGTGTCGGTGTGGCAGCATGTGTCTTTGTGTGTGTGTGTGTGTGTGTGTGTGTGTGTGTGTGTGTGTGTGTGTGTGTGTGTGTTTGTGAGTATTTTGTGTGGGGTAATATTTGTGTGCATATGAATATACCCCAACAGTCAAACCAACACTTCACAGAAACACATATCAGCATTCATTCACACACACATACTCCATACAAAAACATCCCTGTATTCAAACTCACAGGCACTGCAGACAAATAATGGCTGCAAGGATGTGGCAATGCATTGTGGGAGTTGTACAATAGTTGAAGGTATCCTCATCTCTAGACCCTTCACTACAGAGGGGTTACAAAACTATAAATCTTGCTCCAAGGCTGTCTCTTTACTAGGACCACTAGTGTTTTCACTTTTTTGTTTGGACAGGAACCACTTGTTCCAGTGTGCCAAGACCTGCTTGTAATGTCAGCTACTACTGTATTGTGCCTGTCTATTTTTGCCATTTTCCTCAATAAATGGATGCTATTAATTATTACTAATAATACAAAACCATCTGAGACATGCAAACAAGTTATGTAGCCTTTATTGGCATTGTTAAGGTTATTCAAGTAATGGTAAAACGAATTAATAGTGGAATATCACCATATGTTTTTCCACACATAATATAATACAAATGACTATCAGCACTGAAATCAAACAAACAAGTCTTTATATTGAGAAATTCAATCCACTCAGATTACATGCCTGTTTGATACACATGCTAAAACATACATTAATGGTACATATTATCTATACGGCGTATTAAACACCTGCAAAAAGCTAAAATGCTCAATTTCTGTAGCACCTTTAGTTATATGAACTCTTCCCTCTGATATTAAAAATATGACAAACGTATGCCCTGAAGACAGGAACCTGTTCCACTGCAATACCCATTTAAAAAAACACCTTTGTTAGACAGTTACGCAAAAAAAACAACGCAGTTAAATTTTTCTAAAAAGAACTTCAGCCTGGGTAGGGAGATCCTGTTTGTGTTAAATAAAGCAATATGAGGGAAGTTTAGAAATATTCCAAGACTGACATAAAAAAATTCTAAAAAGAACCCATGTGGAATCGCTAAAAAGATTTAAGCCATTAAAACATGGATATTGTTAACATTTCAATATAATATATTAAAATTACAGGCATATAGCATATAAAATAGCGATCAATAAAAAATGTTTAGCTAAAATTCAACCATCCACAACCAATATGTGTTCTTTAAAGAAACTGTTCTTCATGTTCTGATTCTTTTGGTTGAATGTTTCTCAGAGGAAAATCCACGTCCTTGCCTACAGACACTTCCTTGTCGATTATTAACATTTTCCTTTGGCTGGTCGGACCATGTCTTCTCTCCTTCAACAGAGATATCACTGCAGCTCTCGCCATTCTCCTGAAATACAAAAATGATAGCGTGTTTATGAATGAAATAAACATACTATGTTTACTCCAATGTGGCTGTTCTTGGAACAGGGGTAAAACAAGGTCCTAGGTCCTGACTGTGCACCTCCTGCAGCAATTTAGTCTGGCAAATGGAAGGAAACAGGGTGGAAGATGTAGACATATCATTTGCGGCTCCCTAGAAGTTCAGATCAATCAATTTAAAAAAACAACAATGTGACATATTTTAGAATCCCGAAGGAAAGTGAGGCAAAATGAGGAGTTAGGTCTCTCAGCTCTGTCTTGCTAAATCAAGTGGACATCAAAACATGGTGTGTGGAAGAGAGGCCAGCATTAAGTGGGTGCAGAGCTTTGCAATATGGGTGCAGAGGGTGCAAGGAAGAAGAGTTTTGCAAGGCTTAACCAAAGGTAGTTTTAAAATTCTGTTGATGAGTGCAAAGTAATTCAAATGCAATTCAATAAAATCTGATGTTGGAAACTTACTTGTCTTTTGATCCCTTTACTTCCTTGAGTAACCATTTTTGATTTGTTTCCAGCCGCTGCTTCCAAAACTAGAAAAGATTTATAAAGAAAAGTTCAGAATAATGTTGCATGTGCTGTACCTGTGAATGGGATTCTCCTTTTTCTACATGTTATGTAGAGTCTGGTTGAACTGGTTCTACTAGCCATCACTAAAGCAGCAATATTACATGAATGTATTTTCCCCTTCTACAAAATGCAGTATGTCAAGAGGATTGCTGGAACACTTAATATTTATAATAAAACAAGAATACACAAAATTAGAAATGTTCACATCATTTTATTCAACCCAAAAATGAGAAAATGACGGCCTATACCTTCATAATAATCTCTTTAGCCCCTTAAGGACACATGACATGTGATGATTCCCTTTTATTCCAGAAGTTTGGTCCTTAAGGGGTTAAGAATCCTACCATAAAACTGATTGGCCCACTTGATTAATGACTACATAGAGATGCCAAAACTAAATACACAGGACATTCCATACTGTCATGAAGTCTTAAAGGACCAGATGAAGATAACAGCAAAATGTAGAGTCTTACTCTGCTTACTAAGTAGCAGTTCCTCCTGTCAGGATCCAAACCCTAATTTCGAAACTTTTATGAATTTGATTCAATTTTGTTTCAGCAGTAACTATGATTTGCCACTAGTGGTCTCCCTAACCACTAGAACTTTCCTTCCCTCTACCTCATCTCTACCTCATCTGCCTGGGCTAATTACCTCTGCTAGGAAAGGTCTCACCCTGCTCAATACTGTGCCTTTACATTGAATGAAGTTGATGATCTGCTTTATACCAGCTTTACCTACGCTACAGACCTGCTTTGTTACCAACTTCTTTGCTTTACCAGCCTGGTACAAAGCTACCTAATCTGCATAACCTGACAGCTGAAGGCTATAAGGAGTTTCTTTCCTGATTCTATGAATAACCAGAGGCTCTCCAACCATAAATCAAGTAACTCTTCTACAGATTATTATATGTCTGCATGTGATGCTAAATCTACACCTAGATTCCTTTATTACAAAGTGTAATTACCTGCATTTTCAGTACTCCTCCCAAACCAGGGGGCTGATTTCCTAAACATCTATTTTACTTGTCTCTCTAAAGAACCTATACTTTCATCTATAGGTTTTATGTCCAGGAGTTAAGCCAAGAAGCAACTTATTAGGGATTTCCTCTAAAACGAAAACAAACAAAAAAGAAAACTTGGCAGTTCTATAGCACACAAACTCATCCATGCCTATTCTGTCATTCATACCTGTAAGAAATTCATCAATTGCATCCACCACTGTTTTGGCATCTTCCTTTGTAAAGCACATCGGAGGTTTGAATTTGAGAACATTTCTGTGCGGGCCATCTGCACTTAGAAGAATTCGTCTTTCTTTCAATCTAAGTAAGGAATAAAACAAGTATTAGAATATTTTTTTTTAAACTGTTATAAATTCTTTTAACCAAAAAAAAGAATTTTGTGAGATAACCCTCACACCATTTGAATGTATATCTTATGCGACTTTCCCAATTTCTGAAGTTTCATAATTGACTTAGCAGTGTATCTGTCATCTGTCAGTCTCAAAATACACACATTGAAAAAAAAGACCTATTTATTATTTATTATATTATTTATAAAGCGCCAACATATTCTGCAGCGCTGTACAATTGGGGAAAAAGAAAAACACAATAAAAGCAGACCGATACAATAGGTAGAGGTGCCCATGAGCTTACAATCTAAAGGGTAAAATGGGGAGATGAAATAGCAGACCTTCCCGCAAACGCTATGTATACCCACAGCGATACACATGCGAGGGCAGGCGCCTGAGAGCTCGCTATTAGGATAAATGGGGCGGATAAAATCATGAGACATGTCCTAGCCATCGTTTCCACATTACAATTAGAGTCTGATAAACAGTATTGAACATGATGATATACTGTGGTACTCAATATTTTGTAAATGATAACTGACCTTAATGTTGCTTTGCTATTATGTCACACCCGATATGCCATATAAGATTAGTAATGCCCCAGGAAAAAGGGGAAGCGGGATGGACGGGTGGACATGAGAGGGGCAAATTGTTGCAAGGCATGAGCGGATGCACTGCGTTATATAGCGATTTTTGTTAGCACAATGCATGCACCATGTCGGACGTGGCTGTGTAAGGATCTATGGTTCTAAGACTTCAAAACCAAAACTTAATACCAATTGATATGTATATGACATGATGTATGACTCATGTTTTCTACCCGTGCCTTCAATGCAAACGGGATCTCCGAGTCCCTATATTTGATCCTTTCTGTACCGGTACATTATGTTTTCATCAAAATAAAATAAATTTTTTTTTTTTTTTTTAAATGGTGAGATGAGACAAGAGGTAGCAAAGGAATATGTATGTGATGGCAGAGATCATTAAAAGTATAACTGCAGCAGCTGTTGGCATGTGAAGGGAATGATTGACTATGGTGCCAACAGTGGCGTACATACCAGGGTCGCAGGGGTCGCGGCTGCGACCGGGTCCGGCCCACCAGGGGGCCCGGCTGCCCCTGCGACCCGGTGTGTACCCACTGGGCCAGCCTCTTCCCCTGGGGGGCCCAGGAGCCGGCCACTTCAGGGCCCCTGGCCCTGCTGACACCCGGCAGGCAGGCGGGCAGGCGGGCTGTCTGGGTGGCCGGCGCGCGAGGGAGCACTCTCCCCTGAGTGCTTCCTCTTCAGCTTTCTCGCGCACCGCACTGATACCGGAGCCAGAATATGACGTCATCTTCCGGCGCTGGCATCCCTACGCGGCGCGCGAGGGAGCTGAAGAGGAAGCACTCAGGGGAGAGTGCTCCCTCGTGCGCGCGCCAGCCTGTCTCCCCACCCAGTGACTGGCCGCCCAGGAGCCCAGCAGCACCACTGGACCCCAGGGAATCCCCTCAGCTCTCCAAAAGGTAAGGAGGCTGGGGGGATTAAATTTTTTTTTAAAATGTGTGTGTGTTAGAGTGTGTGTGTGTTAGTGTGTGTGTTAGTGGGTGTGTCTGCTTGTGAGTGTGTCTGTTATTGGGTGTGTGTCTGCTAATGAGTGTCAGTGAGTGTGTTACTGTGTGTGCCTGTTACTGAGTGTGTTTAATGTCTGTTAGTGAGTGTGTGTTTGTCAGTGAAAGTGTATGTTTTGTAAGTGAGTGTGTATGTCTGTCGCTGAATGTGTCTCTGTCAGTAAATGTATGTGTCTGTTAGCTAGTGTGTATGCGTCTGTTCGTGAGAGTGTGTGTCTTCAGCATTTACCTTTCTCCAGCGCCGGACTCCCTTGGCGCTGGGGATGCCTCCGCCTCTCAGCTCCGAATGCACACGCGTGGCAAGAGGCGCACGCGCATTTAAACCGCCCATAAGAAAGCATTACTCAATGCTTTCCTATGGACGTTCAGTGTCTTCTCACTGTGATTTTCACAGTGAGAATCACTGAAGCTCCTCTAGTGGCTGTCAATGAGACAGCCACCAGAGGCTGGATTAACCCTCAGTGAAACATAGCCGTTTCTCTGAAACTGCTAGGTTTTCAGCTGCAGGGTTAAAACTAGAGGGACCTGGCACCCAGACCACTTCATTGAGCTGATGTGATCTGGGTGTCTGTAGTGGTCCTTTAGGTGTGTGTGCATACCGCGGTCGCGGGGTCCCAGCCCTGCAACCCCTGCGACCAGGTGCCCGCCGCCATGTGTTACGGCCCCGACCCGTGCCAAGTAAGCGCGGGGAGGGGGGGGCCCATGGGTCATGTATACGCCACTGGGTGCCAAACAACTGTCAGAAGAGAGGTGGGAGGGTGGGTAGAGCCAAGTAAAATTAAATGGCATTCTTGTTGCAGGGATGAATGTGGGTTGGGGCCTTTAAAGCTGCAATGTTCCAAATTAAATGTTCTTCTTGTTGCAAGGATGGATGAGGAATGTCTAAAGCTCCTGAAGCCAAAAAGGGCCAGGTGAGTAATGTGGGGGTGGAAGGGGTATAACCCAAATAACATACTTGGGCATACATACATAAACACATACATTTACACCAACACATACATACACACATATAGGTACATATGCACATAAATACTTGTGTAATCTCTTCACTGAATGTAATTTGAATGTCATTTACTTATAGATTATGTGCTGGGCCTCAGCTGTTGCAGGAGTTCTCAGTTGTCTGTCCTTAACAAGATCCACTCCAACAAATAAGCCCGCTCCCCTGCAGGAAACAGGAACAACTTTATTTAGAGATAATACCCATTATTTCATTTAATAAACACCAATATATTATAAGAACACAGCATTTTGCAACCAACCCATTCATCTAAATCTTGGCATCACACCTTACCTTTGCAGAAACTGGTTATTATCTTGACATGCCTTAATCTGTTCTGCTAAAACCACAAAATAATGATCAACCACAACATGAAAATCACTGACAGGTGAAGTTTATAACATTGATTATGTTGTTACAATGGCACCTGACAAAGCATGGGATATATTAGGCAGCAAGTGAACAGTTAGTTCTTGAATTTCATGTGTTGGGAGCAGGCAAAATGGGCAAGCGGAAAGATCTGAGTGACTTTGGACAAGGGTCAACTAGTGATGGCTAGATGACTGGGCCAAAGCATCTCCAACTGGCAAGTCTTGTGATGTTCCCAGTATGCAGTGGTTAGTATCTACCAAAAGTGGTGCAAGAAAGGACAACCGGTGTACCGGCATCATGGTCACAGAGTGCCCAAGGCTCATTGATGCACGTGGGGAGCGAAGGCAAGCCAGATCACACAGAAGAGCTACTAAAGCTCAAATTGCTGGCCATGATAGAAAGGAGTTAGAGCACACAGTGCATCACAGTTTGCTGTGTATGGGGTTGCATAGCAGCAGACCAGTTAGAGTGCCCTGGATAACCCCTGTCCTCCACCAAAAGTGCCTTGAATCCAGACGTGGACCCCGTGCTCACTGTGCCTAGAGGGATTTCAGCTACACCTCACTGATGAGGCCCAAAGAAGGCTGAAATAATCATCTGCGTTTACTGTATCTCTAATGCCGAGAGAACTTGCCGGCATTTCGGTTTTGGACTGCCCTTATGGGTAGATCAGTCTGATGTGCTTTGGAACTAGTTCTCTGTGTAACGGCACAAGTGAGCTAAAAATATTTGAGACCTGATCAGGGATTTACCGAAGGGCAAGCTACTGGGTTACTTTAAGCTTTTCTCATATTGCTTGTTCAAGGTGTTGCCTTGTCCACCAAATTCCCCAGATTCCAATCAAATTGAGCATCTGTGGTACAACAAATCTGATCTTCTGCTAATGTCTTTGTGCAAGAAACCACAGGACAAGTTCAGAAGTCTTGTGGAGTCCATGCCTAGTTCTTTATTGGGCATCCACATTAATAAGACAGAGCTGCCATGCTTCCTTTATAATTGAGGAACCATGCAAGCACATTCACTGCCTTAACAAGACACCATATGTGTTAATGCACACACATCCCTATCTACAAACGTGAAAGTAGAACTGTGGCTTTTCCATGCATACTGCTGGCATTATTTATTATCTAATTATAAATATATTTTATCCAAAAACTTTAGAAGTTACTTTTTACATTGGCAAATGTAGGCTTTGGGAGCAATGCTGCTGCTATGACTTGCTCTAATCATTTCAAAAGTATATATAAAATAATATAATTACTTGGCTTAGTTGGAGTGACTAGGATGTTGTCAGGAAATTTCATATGCTGTCATGTGGTAGTTATTTATGTAATTGTCATATAGAACAAGAAAAAGAGTATTTACTAAAACAAAACCAACTGGTATAAACCACATTACTGCAGTGTATATTATTATTAAGTGATGTATTGCTGTGGGGCTTTCTGATAGTCATACACTACAAACCTTGAGCATTAAAAAACTTAAGCATTACTACCAGAGGTGTACCGATGGTTACTTGGCACACAGTTCAAAATGTATGATGGTTCCCCCCAGTTTGTAGATTTCTTTTGTGTGTCACTCTGCGCTACCAAACCTTGTTTATTTTAGACACAATTACACATCCTGTTTACTTGCAAAGATGACAAACATCCATTTCAGTTTCATGTTGGTCTCTTTGATACACTCATGCACAAATGTTCTGTAAAATACCTCCAAAAATGGCCCATTGTCCCAATGTTGGTCTCTGGTGTCCAAGTCCTCACAAATCTCAGAGCAAGTGCATTGTTTGATTGTACAAACTGCACTCAAGGAATTCAGTCCTCAAACGTGCAATGTGCTTGCCCAGCCCTGAGTGTAATATTCAGTCATTCTAAAATGCATGGACGCCAGGCCGGCATACCCCCTTTTCGAGGAGTACTGCCCTTACATGGTAAAACCTGCCTATCACTGAGTCACTGGCCTGACAATCTTCTCATCCTGAATTCATACCACTCAATGTTAACAAAAAAACACAAATGATACTTATTGTGAGGGCTGCTGGTAATATATTGTGGTTATAACAATGTGGCTTATCCATGGATGCAATGTTTCAAATTACAAAGCATTGTCTCCTTATCTCATCATATATGTATTATTTAATTTACCTGATATCACCAATCAGTTCATGCTTTTCCTTTAGTTCGTTTAAGAGTTCCACTAGATAGTTTCCCACTCTTACAGCATTCCCCCTCAAGCCTTCCTTCTCGATAATATCCATCACAGCCATACCAATAGCACAAGACACTGGGTTACCACCAAACTATATAAAGAACATACAACAAAACAGTTACATAAACATTTCACTGCTGTTCTTGTATTCTTGAAAAGATAAGGTCACCAATAATACAGAATATCAAATAAGGAAAGAAAATATTTTCTGCGCCTCACATTAGCAAAATCATAAAACATATGATATTTCCAATGCTATATTTATAAATGTAATAAATCTGTTTATTAGCTAAGTGTGCCCACATTCTCAACCCACCTGGTTCTGTAGCAAACAAAGCAATCAGGAAGGAGACTGCATAGTGTGGGGCACAGGAAATAAACATTTGAGCAGTGTCCCATGAAATGTTTCTCACAGAGAAACATTGTGGACACTAAGCATATTTCGACAATATAAAATGCACACATGAAAATAGTAAAAAACAATGCATAACGTTACTGAAATATTAAAATTATGGACAAAATGTAGTAAGCTTTCTAAATGATCCAATACTGTTTGAAAAGCTTTCCAAATGGATTTTCAACACACATTCCCGTAGACTTCAATGAGGACTACTGTAAACATATCATTTGGAAAGCTTATTAAACTGAGACCTATATGACTAAAATAAAATGATCTTCTGAGTTGGTGCAGATCAATCTACAGGCTTAGAAGAATTCTTATTTATCCACCATAAAATTTTAGGCTGTGTATAAATGTATTTCCTCCTGATATCCAAACATATTGATTTTTACAGGAACATACCGTATTAAAATATTCCAGTCCACTAGCTCCAAAGGCTTCTGCAATTTCTTTAGTAGTTACAACACAAGACATTGGGTGTCCATTTCCAATTGGCTTTCCCATGGTGACAATATCTGGCACAAAGTCCTCTCCTTGCAGTTGAAAACTCCAGAAGTGTGATCCAACTCTTCCAAATCCAACTTGGACTTCATCTGCAATGAATACTCCACCTGCTTCATGGACATATCTGAAATAAAAAAATATATATACATAAACATACAAAGAGGTGAAATATACCTTTGGTGGAAATGAATCTAAAGCCCTTTACGTTATATAGCTGTAAGTGTTTTGCATATGTCTTTGTGTGCGTGTTTTTGTACTTTTATCTGGTTGTTATTCTTTTCTGTGCATCATTTGTGTAAAATGTGTATTAAAATGTAATAAAATGTAATGTAGCATTCATTTCAGTCAAGTTGTGACCAGTCTTCTGGAGCGCATTTCATTTAAAAAATTAATGAGATATTTAGATATTTTTTTAGAAATTAATATATATATATATATATATATATATATATATTTTTTAGTAAGTAAACATTCATTTAGTAGACCAGGATAAAATGAACAATTTAAAGAAGAAAAGGATCAAAAATAGGATAGGAACTTACTCTGCCACCTTCTGGAAGTATCCTGGTGGTGGAATAATCTGGCCTCCGCAACTCTGCATGGACTCTGCAATGAATGCAGCAATCTACATAAAAGAAGACAGTATTAGAGCAAAGTTCCAGTTTCTACTTATTGCACCATATATCTTCATATGGATGTGTTTTCCCCTAACAACTTGATTAGCCTAACTATTAGTCCTCAAAAAATATTGAAAGTAATTCTCATCAAATTCCAAGGATGGCTTAATTTGTGATTTTAGGGCTTTTATAACAGCATTTTGGTTGACCATTGTATATTAACAAATGAGAGAACTATTTCTGGGGAAAAAATAATGGTTATGATAAAAAGACAATATATTTATATATAAAGAGTGTATCAAGTTCTCCATGCCGATATTTAAAGTCTGTAGCCAAGATGAAATAATTTACTTGTCCATGTTGCTGTAACTATTATTACCAAGAAACATTCCAAGAATAAGTAGGCAGAATAAGTCTAGAAACAGTCTAGAAAACAAAATGTGTTGAAACTTCGCTTGATTGGCTTTGCATTGATCAGAAGGACATTGTCACAAAGAATATATCATGTTTAGTTGCCTCACACTTCACCGCGGTTAGGGAAATTAAGATTATACAGTTTAGGATAACAATCTATTTAGTTTTCTGTTGCTAAACTATGTCCCAGGTAAAATCTCCATGGCTATTTTTTTTCTTGAGTAGGGTGAGCAAAGAGGCAGCCTCCCTTGCATTTGTATAAATACAAGGATGTTCATCATGAAAGTCTGAATAAAGTAGTATATATACTATATCGAAGAGACGCACTACAGTGAAACAGCATGAGGCTTTCCAAAGAAGGTGAGACATTAGTCTTTAGCACAGCTTGTTCTGCAACTGGAAAACGTCACCAAAACCTACAATATGTGAAAGGGAAGAAAAAAAGGAAAAAGAAAACTGACCATTAGTAAAAAGGTTTTTGTAATTCTTGAGACACGTCATTGATCCATCTAATCCTTTGGACTAAAAAGAGGTATGTTGAACAACACAAAGGCAGTCTCAAAAGATTAGAGTTGTCACAACAAAAACATTACATTGTAGCATACAACCAACACCCAGTATTCTTCCTGATTTTTGTCTCACAAGCATCCTTTTGTCAGAAAACCAAATACAAGATTTTGTGGGTAATCAACGCATTTCACAAGGCAAAAAGAAGAACAAGAAAAACATCAGTGGCTATTTTTATTTGTATCCATTTTTGTTGTCACATTGGTATTTTTGCATTTCTTTAACTTCTTTTACTTTTTCACCTTTGGAAAATAATTATTTGATTTTCACAGAATCAAGTACTCTGAGATTTAATGCGTTTAATTATATTGCTATTTATTTAAGTTTTGTAAAAAATAACCTGTAATAAATAGACTCTGATATGGAATATCAGGTTTTGAAGTAGGAACCAAATAGCATGAATGCATGAGCAAAGAAATAACGTTTTTATTATTACTCTTTAAGTTGTAAATTCAAAGTCCTTGACAAAAAAAAAAAAAAAAGTGTTATTTCTGGACTCTGTAGTATCATAGAACATCCCTGTTCCGTAGTTTGTATTTTTTTTTAAAGCTACATTAACATTCTTTACGCCTATAGAAAGTCTTCTAAAATCTACCTCCAGTGCATGTTTTCTGATACATTTTGTAGTTTTGTGAAAAACACATTAGGGAGGCATAAAACAGCATTCCAAGTGCTACAGCCTTGATCACACAGATTTTCTTTTATTGAGGCTCCACACCTATCAAATTGTGTACAAGGTGCAGCTCTGATCTGATACACTTAAAGAAAAAAACAATCATACAAATTCATTACAATCTGTGCCAATCACTCTTCAGAGTACAGACCAGTGGCAGCTGATAAAGATTTAAGATTGAAAGGTTCCAGACACCTCCTCCAGAATTTTACTCCTCCCTATACAGTACAGAGATATGCGTACAATACAGAAATCTGAGTATAATACAGAGATGCTCGTTCAATTAAACAAACTGGGCACAATACAAAGACATATAAAAAATACAAAGAGCAGAGTAGAATACAGAGATAACTGTATCACAAACAGAATTGTTAAAGCAGTAGGACATCGATAGACTCCTTGTTACCTTTGCAGCTGGCTATAAAATTAATCTCTGCTGCTAATATGGAACCAAGAAGTATCTGACATGGTTAACAGAAGCAACAATCATTACAGATTTAAAGCATAATCATTTAGTCCTCCGAGTCACAGCCCCAGTCCTGCAGTTTGAACCTTCACAACTAGCCACATCATGAGTGTCTCAGGTTTCATACGTAGAGTGACTGAGCACTTTAAAGTTATGGTGGGTATGTGCATTAGGAGTTTTAAAAACTAGTAGTGACAGGCATCACAGCGCTCTGTGTCAGAAATGTCCCCTCCACTTGCCACCCCTGGTCTAACCTGGCTTTATATATATGAATTATATTCATTTAGTAAATTCCCTTGCTTAATCAGCCCCCAGGCAATCACTGGGTCTATTGGAGGAGAGAAAAAAAAGATAAGATTATACACTTTAAAAGTCTTGCAGTCCTGTTCCATTCTATACATAATATGTGAAATTAATGAATGATTTACTGGAGTGGAAATTCTCCTATTTATAACATTTCAACAGTTCAGTAACCATGCACGAACTGACATCTAGTTGTGAAAAGTTTGCATGAGAGTACACACAGCAAAGAATTGCAACACAATCCAAACTTTATTTTGTGATTAGCATTTTGGAGTCATCTAAACTCACACACCCTAGCCTAGACTATTTAATGGTTAAAGTGACATTTTAGGCACTGTAACCATTTAATCTCAGAATTGGTTATAGTACTTGGAGTACCCATGCAATGATTAATAAAGCTTAGGATGCTTTAAAGAATGCATTTAAAAGTTAACTATCACTTCTCTGACTATTGAAAATAAAAACTTTAACAATCATCTATAACTGGTGTTAACATTGTTTTTGTGAGATGCTCTATTTTCATTACAATTTATATAAAATATTTATCATATTATATTTTAATCCAGTTAAAACAAGGGAAAGCCATATCAAACAGAAATAGAAACATTGTATGCTTTCCCCATGCGGATTGTCAGCTACAAAGGACAGAGCTTATAACAATGGTTGACAGAGAAGTAAAATGGAGGCACCTAAATGAAGTATAAAGAGTTGTGGATTTATAAAATGAATACATTTTTAGGAACTTGCAAATACATATTTGTTAAATATAGGGATAAGAAAAACGCAATATTAAAAATCCTGTGACTAGTCAGCTCCCCTTTAAGAAGCACAGAAGACCAGAGGCGCCGCAACAACCTTAAGGTCAGAGGGGTGCCAGAGGAGATCCCCACGGCGGAGCTCCCACACTTCATAAGGTGGCTAATGGGAGCCCTATTAACCCTAAAACAGGCCAAAGGTGTCACCTACGAAGGGATTTTCCAGGTCCCAAAGCCCCTAGAGATCTGGTGGTGAGATTTCGTAACAGCGTAGACAAGCAAACGGTGCTTTCAGCCCTCAAAGGAAATACACCCCACTCCTTTGAAAATACCACACTCTCATTCTATGCAGACCTCTCAGGAGACACCCTGCAGTGTAGAAGACACATGCAACCACAGCATACAATATAGGTGGTGATCACCAAGAGCACTACAGGTCGTGCATGGGGAATCCACCCACTCTATCTCCGACCCCCAAGAAGCACCAGCACTCATGAACCAGCTGGGCCTACCAGCAGATTCCTTGCTTCAACACGGACCCAGAGACACAAACCCGAGAGCACCCATATGGGACCCGGCGAAGGTTGTCCGTTTGTGCCGCAGAGAGCCATCCCAGAGACATATGCTGCAGCTCCTACCTGAACCAAGGGGACTGATATAAAGCACTAAGCTTACTCTCACCCAGGACTGACACCAATGACGGTTCAAGTTGATCTACGTTTTTAAAATGTATTATTTTGTTGACACCTTCTCATTTAATGCACTTTTATTCCACGGACCCAACTCAGTGCCACAATCCTGATTAACGGAGCCTAGGGGTGAATCCAAGCCCACACCGAAGACCGATAACCTGTAGCCTTCACTGTCCGCTGAAATAAACTCCCACCGGCACCTTAGCACAGCGAAGCCGACTAGGTACTCTATTGTGCCTTCAGCTTTTTAACCCACGTCTCTCATTATACTTACAGTAATATCCGGCCCTCCAGCAACTACTGACACAATGAGCCTTGTCACGACCTTAGGTAATATCTATAGCCAGTAGCTGTGCTCCACGGTAACTAACCCCAAGGCCGGTTTCTTGCATGTCCCCAACAGTTTTAACACTAGAACACCATATAAATAAAACCCACTACTCATGGGCCTCATACACAGGATGTCATGCATGCTCGCTATGATTTTTTCCTTTGTGTTACTTTTATTTGCTTTACACCTGCTGTATGTCATCCACTTTAAGCACATGCCCTCTCATGCCTATGAGTGGAGCAAAAATAAAGAATAAAAAAAAAAAAAAAAGATGCACAAAGCATTTTTTTTAGGATCCCGGAAACCTGCATATGGTGATCAAATACTGTAATAAAGTTTGTTTTAAAGCTGAATACTAGTGTTTTTAATACATGAATTGTCAGAGATAAGTGCACTCAGCACCCAAGACTCAGTGATGTTGTAGTGAAGAGAATGCATAGCATTCCACAAAAGAAATCCTGTACAAAGTTGCATCATATTTATGTTTTCATTGAGACAATACTTCTGTGTAAAACTTGTTAACTTCCAAAAGGACTTTGAAAATACTACAAAAAAAGTACTGGTCATTGAAACGTTTAGCTCAAATAAATAGTTGAATATAATTAAGTTGTTAAAAGAGATGCAAAAATACTTCAGTGGAAGTTATTTGTGATTGCGTGAATTGGTGTCCTTCACATTCAACTCACTAATTTTCTGCTTACCTTGCGATTTTTTTGCTGAACTTCCATAATGATGTCATATACTTCCTTAGCATATGCTGCCCCTGGGTCTGGGTGATCTTCCCTATATTTTCCTCTGTAGATGTCAGGAGAAGGAGCCTGACAAAGGATACAAAAAGTCAGTTTATAGCGGAAGTTTCCAGGCTTATTCTTTGGCTGATGATCTACCTAGTAACTAGAGAGCTAGGTGATGCAGTTAAAATAATTCATAATTACATCTGATGATTTGCACCAATGTAAATGTATTTATTTTCCTGTTATTTAAATATAACAATTTCTAAATGTACAAGCAAAAATTTTTTAAAAGAAAAAGTTGGTTAGAAAAGGCAGAAAAACACAATTAACAAGGTGTCAGATCGCCGCTCACTTACCCGGTACTCCCTCGCAGCACCTGACGCCATCGCTTATTGGAGCCCTCGGCATGGTGTACCAGTTTGCCACCACGGGTTGGCGAATGGCATATTTCTGGAAAGTGGAAGCGGTAATGTGGCTCTCTCCTTCTCACCACAGCCCGCAACCCAATTGAGATGTCGGCCAGCATCGTAGCCCAAGGTGGAGACCCTACCTGACCTGGGGACCCTAGGCACATGCTTGGCAGACACCCTCTTTAAAGGGCAGAGGGCAGAACTGGTTTAGAAGGTGTGGCCATGGGCAATAGTGAGGCGGGAGAGGTGTGCCCCTCTCCCCTATATAACTGAAGCAGATTGTGTCCACCTTGCTTAGTTGTACTGTGCTCTCAGTGTTATACTCTTCTGTGCTGCTTTCTATTTGTCTCTCTGGTATCTGACCCATTTTGCCTGCTTATCGCCTGTAAACCTGACCTTTTGCTATACCATGTCCTCGCTGTATTTCTATTGGTACTTCGCTTTGGTTGTTTTAGCATAGAGCTCATTATTATATTTGTCGCTCCTTCTGCTAAACCTGACACAAGGGTAGATGGATTTTGATAATGAACACAAGCGCGCACATGGACCCACGTTTACCAGAATGCACGTGTACAGCCTGCTTTTAGCATGAAAAATAAAAAAAAGTGTAAATTTACATGCGTTTTGTTTTTCTGTTTGTCTCCAAAGGAATCCATTCACAAAACTGCTGTGCATCCCTTTGCTTCAAATAAATATTACGCTAATATATTTTTTTCAATCAAATAGTGTTTGGTAGTGAAGAGGTTAATTGGTTTTTATAAAGTCAACTGTGGTTTACAACAAAATGGGGTTTCTCTCTGAAGAGCCACATACCGTAAAAATATGTTCATGGAAAACTAATTGCTGTGGTCAGTTAATTTAAAAAATATAACCAGTTGGAGTAAGCAGGAGTTTATGACTAATAGATTATGTGAAAAATATTTAATTAGAAAATCAAGCTATATTTAGTGAAAGATATATTTTGCTTGACATTTGCTAACTATTTTAATACAGTGCCACTTGGGAGGTCTGTATATATATATATTTGTTTGTGGATTTTGGAAAAGAAAGTAGCTAAAATAAATAATTCATAAAGTTAAAAGTTGGATATGCTCCAGTTGGACACACAGGGTGGGAGAAGTGCAGGCATTTGTCCTTGACTGACCTCTAATTTTTTTTTAATGATCTTAAAAAGCACATTCAAGCACAGTTTAATATTGGCTGGTGATGGAGAATTATGTAAGGTTTTAAAAAGAACAGGATGTTTGTTTTCTCTGTAGGAGATTTGGACTGAAAGGGAATGGCAAATTAAATCTAGCTGAGGAAACTATTGGTATTTATTTGCTAAGAAGGGGAATTTGTTAAACAGACACAGAAAATTAAAAAAGTAGCCTAAAATATCTGGAACTGAAAAAAAAGTCCAAATTGACTATTTTTAATTCAATATTAAAAAACCCAATAAAATTATTTAAAATTTTTTTTTAGCTTTTACCAGCTACGGGGACTGATTAGGACAGTAGAAATCTCATGGAATCACCAATAAGTAGCTATGAGTAGAGTGTTGTTTCAGAAACAAATCTTCACAATTTACAAAAAAAAATTAATTTTTTTGAATGTAAATGATGAATTTCTAAGCTCCATGGGTCTGATTATTAATCATAGGTGTGTGCTAGTGGTATGATTGTGTGCCCAAGAAAGTCCTAATGAAAAGACAAAACTGTGTCCCTGTCCCCTGCCACTCTTTTAGGTTCCTGTCCCAATGAGTTTTGGATAGCTTGTTATGTATTTGAAGAAAAAACAAATCATGACTACCTCTGGCAAAAATAGAATATTTATAATATGAAAATATCAACACTAGGTTACACGGGGTAAACCCCAGTCACAGCAAACAAGTAACTCTACATTCTACATAAACAAGAAATAAGAGGGAAAAGATGTATAAAAGAATGAAGGAAGAAGAAGAGAAAAAAAGGGAGGTAGGAAGAATCCTAGTGGAATAAGAGAGAACAAGACGTGCCACCCCCCCGCCCCCACTCCCTCCTCTCCGTGTCCACCCCAAGCCAGGGGTCACAGATATTAAGGAATTAGAATGAGATACCTTGTAGGGAAGATGTCATTTTACTGTGACTTAAAGTAATTATATATAGTCAGCTTTATTTAGGACCTCAGAGTGGGAAGAAACTTAGCAATGATTTGCAAAACATAATTGGATCATTTTGCTATAAATTTTGGACTTCTGGAACAATTGAAAACTGCTATACAGGGGAAGAAAATATATTTAGAATAGTTGAACTCAGACTTACCACATGCACATAATCCTTTTTGGCTTCCTTTCCAAGCTGAAGAAATTTGTAAGGACTTATATCGATTAAAGATGTGACATGACCATGGTAAGCACTAAAAAGAAAAAAAACAACAACCCATAAATGTGAATTCCAACAGCTGGAGGTAATTCAGTCTATACAGAGCTATGATTAATTCCCTTCATCATATCATTATAAAGTATTGTACGCAATGTCTTGTATATGCATGCAGTACATGTAGAACACATTGAAAACATCAATAAGACTAGCTGAAAGAACACTCTAGGCTCTCTGTACACTTATAAACTACAACTCCCATGAACCATTAGGTGCACAGATTTATGGGAGCAGCAGGTGTATGAGGCGTTTTCCAGTTTTTTGGGACTTGCAGCCGACGCAGTGAGTGTTTTCTAATTTAAACATATTTTAGAAAAATTATATATAATTATGTTTTTTGTATATTTGAATGCACTATGCATGTAACAAATTAAAAAATAAATGGATCCTCTTCAGTCTGAGATGTCCCTTTAAATTGAAGCATCACATAGAAAAGAGCAAAAAATAAAAGGTAATATGTAAGAAAACAGAAACATAGGCATCTGTGAATCTGTGAGATCACAGCAGAAACTAGAAAGTCCCAAATTACCTGTTTCACAGTCCTCTATGATCTGCTCTTAAAATGACACTATACTAACAAACAGTGCAGCACATGACGATTGTCAGCCATAAATAAGCAATTAGTCATGTTGTTGTAACTTTTTTTAACATTTATATTTTACTATCCTTTGTAGCAAGTATTTGTAGCAATTAGCAAAGGTCAGCAGCTTCCAGAGAATTATGGGAATTATGGGAATTATGGGAACTAGGACAAAGGAAGGATTCCGTGCGGGAGGGAGGAGGGAAGGGCCAGCTGCCAGACCAACCCTCCTGCACCAAAAAGGTAAGAAACAGGAGGGTGGCTAAAACATAAGCTGCCTGTGTCAGCCTGTATGTCACTATGTATGTATAAGTAGAGATGTCGAAAGTAATCCAGGCACTCCAAAGTATCCCAAAAAAGGCAACTTTTATTGGACCCACGAACCAAAAAACAACATTTCGACAAAGACTTTAGGGTCGAAACGTTGCTTTTTGGTTCGTGGGTCCAATAAAAGTTGCCTTTTTTGGGATACCTTGGAGTGCCTGGATTACTTTCGACATTTCTACTCATACTTTTGGTCCTCTGGTACTGGGACTGATGCGGCTAGCACCCAAGGATTCCTTAGATGAAGGGTTTGAGTGCAGTTCTACAATTTATCTATGTGTCTGTATGTATGTCAGAATGTATGTGTGAGTCTATGTATCCGAATGCAGTCACTCGGCCACACTATAAACAAAAGGTATGGGATGAAATAAAGGTGCATCTTGGGAAACAAAAGGAAGGAAAAAAATATTGGGAGTGGGACAAAGAATGAGCAGATGAATAGGGACCAATTTGAAGATGGCAGGGGTGAACATGTAGAGGATAGAAAGTCAGGGTGGAAAAATAAAGGAGAGAGAAACAGTAGGTAAAGATAACATGGAGAGATGGAAAGGAGTTTGGGGGTAACATGGGGAGAAGGCCAGACACTTCGTGTGTATTTAGGGGGATATGATGAAATGGCTGGAATGTGGGGACAATATAGAGAGGGACAGGAAGTTGGAGCAATATAAAGAAAAGGACAGAGAGTGGGGGCAATATAGAGAGGTACAGACAGTGGAGCATTATAAAGAGAGGGACAGAATGTGGGGGGGGCAGATCTAGAGAGGGACATATAGTGCGGTAGTATAAAGAGATGGACAGAAAGTGATGGGGGGAGGCAGATATAGAGAGGGACAGATAGTGCAGCAGTATAAAGAGATAGACAGAAAGTGGGGGCAATATATAGAGGGACAAATAGTGGGGCAAAATAAAAAAGGGACAGCAAGTGGGGGCAATATAGAGAGGGACAGAAAGTGCGGCAACATGAAAATAGGGACAAAACATAGGGAAATATAGAGAAGGACAGACAGTGGGCAATATAAAAATAGGGTCAGAAAGTGGGGAAAAATAGAGAGGAACAGAAAGTGGGGGCAATAGAGAGGGACAGAAAATGGGAACAATATAGAGAGGGACAGGAAGTGAGGGCAAATATAGAAACAAAGTAAGAAAGTGTGAGGGAGAGAAATGGAATATATGGAAATATATATAGATATGCGAATGAACATAAAACAGCAGTGGGAGTGAGGTTAGGGGAAGTATGGTAAGGGGAAGTCCTGGGAACTCTAGTACTGGAACCACTCCCTCCAGGAGCCGATGGGGAATTTGTCTCTCTCTCTCTCTCTATATATATATATATATGGGGGTGGGGGGATGATATATTTAATATTTAAAGTGTTTATTGCAAAAAAATATATAAATATTTGTATCAAAATCATGCTTTTTCTGAGGGGGCATGCTTCATTGATTCTTACACCCGGCCCCTGAAGTTTCTAGTCACTCCCTTGTCTCCTGTCTCCATGGTATATAAACCACTTGTCCTAATTACTATTTCTGTACAATATGAGTTTGATGAAAAAAACTAATTGCATCTGTTATGTAGGAAATAACAGTTATAACAAGGGAAATTAGCTGCATGAGCAGCATGACCTAGAACAGAGTATCAGTGACTGAGCGCTCCTCTGGGTAATTCTGGTACTTTCAGGGCTCAGATAACATCAATACTTGAATTCCATTACTGCAAATTGGTTGGGAAAATGCTGTTGGGTGAAGTTGTTCAAGAAAGTTAGTTTTAGGGGAAATTAATTGAGGAAATCTGTTTTTTTTAGTACTTTGTTATAAACGGTCTTAAAAGTAATTAAGAATGAAACAAATTGAATTGTGAGCAGAATTATAAATATAGGCTGGTAAAGAAATTTTAAACAGTTTTTTACATTTTATTTTATTCTATGTTTATAGAGATCATTCTTGAAGAAGAGGGACTCATATACGGAGCCTAACAAATAACAGGGTTATTCACTAAAGTGAGAACTGCAGGGAATTCAAAATAAATGGAAAGGGAATTTAACATTTTAGCTTAAGAGCTGAATTAAAAAAAAATCTCCAAGGCAATTCTTCTTTCAGTTTAGCTATTTTGTCCTTAAATTTGAATTTCTCTTTATTCACTTTAAATTTCCAGCAATCCTTACATTATTGAACAACCTTGTAAAAGATTTTAGTTTTCAGCTTTTCTTCCAATATCATATTGTCAATTCCCAGATCGGAAAATGATTAATGTACTTCATTAAAATATTTCCTTTAAAAACGTAGGTTTAAAAATGTTGTTTAAAATAAAAGCTTAAAGGACCACTATAGTGCCAGGAAAAGGCAAATATAATGACAGTTATGCGATAATGCCATCTCATTGAAAACAGAGAGGTGGGTGGCATTAACATAGGGTGGTCCACAAGATGTTGAAGGACAGCGGTGTAGCCCATGCAATAAATGTAGGAGACATAGAATTATGGATATTATTGGCTGGTTGAGTTTAAATTTACAGAACTTACCTGTCAAGAGTTATCACATCTTCATGACCAGTGCATTGTCGAGCCAATCGTAATGCAAGATCATTGGCTTCTGAACTGCAAACGAGAAACCTTATATGAATTTCACAACTAGAATATAGCATCTCAGATATTATGGTAAACGTGGTTATTGGGGCAACAAGAATTTGAGAAAAAGTTGAATGTTACAGATTGTGGATTGTTTAGTGGATGTTTGCTTAGCTACCATTACATTTAACTACATCATTTAGGTTACACTTGTTAGAAAGGTTACTTATTTCATTAACCTGTTAAGTAAAACATAACCGAACAGTATCAATCTTATAACAGTGATAATACACAAAACATAAACAAATGTGAATTTTAATAAACGCTCTGTGTCTCCAACTCAAATAATAAATATACCATATACCATTTATGTTGCCAAGATGGATGCCTGTTGGTTCATTAGACCTCAGAGCACAATATGCAAGGTTTTTTTTTTCCTTTCATCTAGGTTTCTATGGTTTTTGGTTCTTTACGACAAATAGGTTTCTTAACTAGTGTTAATGTGTAGCTTTGAATATCAAAAACAATGATACTCAACCATACTCTCCCCCCTCCAAATGGGTCCTCCATTTACCGATATTATCTGTATTAGTAACATCTGTCTATCAATGCCTTTTTTTAAATACAGCTTTAGTTCAAAGATCCTTTACGATTGCAAGCAAACAAGTATTTTTCCAAGAAGACTGCGGTTTTCAGTTTCCTGAAATTTGCAGTCAAAATATCTTGGACATCCTTTCTAACTACAGCTAAAAGCTTCTCAACCGATTCCATTTAATGGATTGCATTCTCGTAAACACAAACATGTGATCTATCTGGCTGTGCTTAATAACTGCTATTCACAGAACCTGGAAAGTAAAACTCCATAACTCCCTTAACTCTAAACCTACTACTAACTCCCATAACACTTAGCTCCAACAACCTAGAGTCTAACAGTGAGGTTAGGAATCCCTGTACACTCACAGCTTAATTTGCTTGCTGACACTGGAGACTAATCATATTGGCTGCACCATTACAAAAAGCACAGACATGCAAGTGGCAAGTGTATGTGTAATTGGATTATTTCATGTTCCCATATGCAGGCATTATTTGTATGTTCTGGTGGCATTTCTGGAAAGCTTCATTCCCAGAAATACATTTAATTCTTTATAAATGTAAATAAGTAAGCTCATACTGGTCATTGAGCAAATCATTGTCTGCTGGGCCTCGATGGCCATGGGTAATGGCCTCCAGCAGGTGCAAAAGACACATAAAGCTCCAGGAAGTGTACTGCGGACGCACTTATACTTTTTTTTAATTACCTAGTCTACATATTCCATTCCCCATTTCTGCCAGCCATGTTACGCAACTTTGGTTAGATTGTCATTACCTGACTCAAAACAAAATATTTAGCAACAATATTTTATAAATTCACCTGACAGAAAATACTGCAGGTAGAAAGCACATCATTTTCAAACAACAAAACATTGCATTGTTCAAATAAATACTGTGCTATCTTTTTCTAACAAAAAGCCCGGTAGAGTATGGGTTAAGCTTGTGAAGTAACACAAAGCCTGATTTATTATCCTGTAAACTGAAACATGATTGCTTACACTGGCCAAACAAAATACAAATAACATAATGATCTGTTTTATAGGGCTCACAGAAAACTTACCCAGAGTTTACAAAATAGCAGACAGAAAGCTTCTCTGGGAGGGTGGACGTTAACCGCTCGGCATACTGAACTAGGTTGTCGTGTAGAAACCTAGAGTTTGTGTTTAGCAACTCCATCTGTTTTACAGCAGCCTTTGTCACCTCGGGATGGCTATGTCCAACTGAAAAACAAAGAAACAATTCATTATTCATAGACAAGCACTGCCAAAAAAACACATCATTCCAATGAGATCATATGGCTAGAACCCCAGGCACTGCATAAAGCATGTCAGGATGCCTAATTGCATATTATATAATCTATTATTTAATTCATGCATATTGATCTGCACTTAGTAATATGTTGATGATGTTCTTACCGTGAGCTACATTGTTAATGCAGTCCAAGTACCTCTCTCCTCTTTCATCGAACATATATTGCCCCTTTGCCTGTACAATCTTGATTGGATCTTTAGCGAAAAATACTTTGCATGATGGCCTTGAAACAAAATGGAAAAACAAACAGAATTTTATGAACCTGTCTTGGAGTGGATCTGGACACACATACTTCTTCACCATTCGGGTGATGGGAGTGAGATAACATTTGGCTCATTCAGAGCTGTGGGTAATGGCAACTGCTCTGTTGTGCTGCTAGGCTCTGCCCCATCCTCCATTTTTAATGTTTGCTTGGTCTCCTATACCCCTACCATATATATAATTTTACATATCTTGACCTGCTTCCCCTTCCTACCTCACCCCATTGATTTTTTTATTTACTAATCACTGGTACCTTGGCATCACCACACAGTCTGCTTAACACACATATACCGGGAGTACTGCCAATTGCCCATCATAGTATTGTCACACAAATCTTCCTCTTCCTTTCTGATTTTATTACAGCTTTGTGAGTTGCTGTTTCTATTTCTCGTATCACTGAATGCACACGACCCATCTTTTTGTATTTTTTTTCCCCTTAAGTTTGCTAGTTTTCTTTAGCTCTCAATGTTTAATGTTGCACTTATAAATCATGTACAGTTTTATTCTTTTAAAAGAACAATATTGACTTAATAGGAAATGTATGCAGAGGAATTCAGAATACCTTTTCCACGCTCCCAAGAGACAGTAATATAATAGTATCTACCATTAAAATTACTACAACAAAGTAAACCGTGTTAGTTAAAACCATGAAATAGTGTAAACATGGAACATGGAAAACCTTCCGTCCCTTGTGAGTGATAATGTGTGACTGACTATTAGTGGTTGTTTTCCATGTGTTCATTCTTTACTGTTACTAGATCAGGCTGGTTCTCAATACTAAATAACTACTCACTTATCACTGTTTATAATATGAAGAAAACAGACTGTCAGTGATTGCAATAATAGAATAACCAGCATTCTGGGAAAAAGTCAATTAGTAAAAGTCATACAGTAAGGGCAGATCACATCTATATCTGCCAGTATCTACACTGTACAGAACATTCTGTTCATGCTGTTTAACCCCTTAAGGACCAAACTTCTGGAATAAAAGGGAATCATGACATGTCACACATGTCATGTGTCCTTAAGGGGTTAAAGAAATGATCTACTTAGCTAATAAAACTAGGCGGAAAACCTACAGCAAACAGAAACTAACACTTTACAGAAGAGGATAGAAATGAAAAGCTTCTGTAAAATCAGTTGACTGAATTCTTTATTTCAATTCCTGTAATTAAAAGGACATTCGTGTGTAAAAAAATAAAAAAAATAAAGCATTTAAAATTACAAAATTAAAACATGTATTTTATTCTCATTAAGGTTAGAGCAAAGGTAAACACTAGAGTTATCAAGCGTCTAGGAATCCTTTCTTGTTAGTGTACATGGCTGACGTCACTCACAATGCTTTTTAGGATTTGAAAATGATATGCCTGTAGATAAGTTATTCCTATTATTATTATTTTAATACATAGAATAATTTTATTTTCAAGATGGCAGATAGGTAGGTTAACATACTTCTTAGGCACATTTGTTCGTATGTTATATGAAAGATTTCACTTATCTTCATTGGTGTATGTGCATATTATGTCCAGTAAACTCCAAAAACAACCTAAGCAACATGGCTGCTTTCCACAACTATAACCTAAAGTCCACTTCTAGAACCTTACTTTTCATACCCCATTACGACCAGCAAGCAGCTCATGGAGCCATCTTATACAGAGGATAACCTACCGGAACAAACCTTCCCTACGCCTGCAGTATCTGAAAAAGCACTCTACGTGTTAAAGGTGAAAACTTTGTGTAAACTTTGTATTGTTTGCGTGGCCCAGGATACAAATGAAAGGGAGGTAGTGATGACAGAAAACAGTCTAGTGTTCTCTCTCTCTCTGTAAAAATTATTTAGGTTTATTTTCTTTACAGCAGGCAGAGCAATGTTTCCATTCCACAGTCCTTTAGTTCTACAGGGCTTTATCAAACATTGTCAAACTAGGGCATTTTCTATTATTGCTGACTGTGCTTTTAGCCAGCTGGGCATCACTTTGGGTTAACATAAGATACTTGCAAAAAAAATAAAAATATTAACGCATTCCTTCTGGTAAAATGCTTTGTAAATAAATTAATATGAAATTAACCTAACTTTAAATTAATACTATAGCATGAGGGATAGAAACATCTATTTCTAACACTGTAGTGTTCTAACTACCTCAATAATTAGATTCACCACCCATCCAAATTGAATTAAAAAATTGGAAAAAAGTTTACTTCACATTTTTTCAGTGCTGAGACTCATTCGTCATTTTGCAGGTATCACTTCTGTGTCTTCTCTTCCAATCCAATGCTTCACATAGACACAAAGCACATGCGTGGCGAGTACTGTGCTTTTCCAATTGAATGTTCTCTATGAGAAGCATTCAGAGGAGGTGATGTGTGTGAATGAAGTCTGACTCAGTGCTCACAACAGAAGAGCCCTTAGTGTCTCTCAGGAAGACAGCCACTAGAGGTTTATTTACCCGCGATGTTATCATGTCTACTAATATGACAATGTTTTACATAGCATGATAAAAAAGGACAAGGACACTGTACCCAGACAACTTCACTGAGATAAACTTGTCTGGTTGCCTATAGTGTCCTTTTTTTTTGTGTGGCTTCTTTTGAGTAAGCTTGTCATTTTTGGCCAAGGTTAGTTCTTATTTTCATGGTGCAAGTAGGTGCCAACAATTCCATTCATTTCTCATTCTCACCTATACAGCATAAAGTTGATACAATTTGGAATGATGGATGCTCATATTATTGAGCAGTAGAGCTACAAAAAAAATGCTACAAAGGTACATGCATGCTTTAGTAGTGGCATACACATGCATGCAGGTATCCAGTTAATTTGTATGTGTTGCCCAGCAGGATATGTCAATTAAAAAAGGAAATGAGATTAAATAAAAAAACAAAAAAAGGACACAACCAACATATTCATAGATAATTATTCTTTAATTTTATTGTACACATTTAAATGAAGGTGTTGCGCATGGAAAAAATAATAATTTGCCAATCCCTGAAGATGTCTTTACATGTCTTAAAAGGATTGGAGTTCATGTAAAAGCAGTCTGCCCTGCGTTGGTTATTTAATATGCTTGTCATGTAGGGTGTCTGTCTTCTTTACAAATTCTAACAGTTACATTCTGTGCTTTTTAACTTATTAACTTAACAATGGGTCTGAAAACAACAGTTTAGACAAAAATGTACTAAAAAGAACTATCCAACTCATTTATTGTATCAACTTATTTTCAGCCAAATGTTTAGAAATATGTTTTTAAGCTCAGAATAATTCGCTACTACCAGAAATGTAGCTTACACTGGTTTAGTGGGTTAAATGTGAACTCATAAAACCACTGGAGTTTTTGGAAGGCGGATAACGGGTGGGGGTGGGATAAAGGGGAAGGGGCTGGATATTGGGAGGGGGTCGCAGCTGTCTGATGATCTGTGCAAAACATCACAACTATTGTGTAATTCTGTTCAAGCAGTAGGGGAATTTATAAAACATTCATTTAAGAAAAAAAAAACTAACTCTCTAGATACCAAAGTGGCATTTAGCTAATTGCACTTGACAATTATACAGTATTAACGGTTTAGTATATTTTGAAAGACTTAAGTTTCATTGTGTTCTGCTTTAAAAAAACAAACAGCATGTCGTGTTATGAAAAGCAGAATGATGCCATGTGTCAGTCAAGAAGCAAGCAGTAAGACAGGAGGCTGTTTTTAAATTCCAGCTAGATAGTCTGTTCTGACCTGAAGGGATTATGTGGCATCCTATAGCCTGCATAACATGAACTCCATGAACTGTTTGAGAGGAGTGGCCCGCAGGAGCCTGTTTTCTTTTGTTGTATCCAAATATATAAGAAGTTACATGTCTCATACTTTACAATTGATCATCTAATCAGCATAATAAAATAATAATCAGCAATTTAACACATCTCTGGAAGTGACATTATAAGTGTTGGGGGGTGGGGGGGAGGAGGACCCCATTGTCCTAATCTAGTTTGCTCTCAGCATGTAACTTTATCAGCTGATATGCAGTCTATCAGGTAACATAACATTCTACTGTAACAATTCCACATGAATCTTAGTAGGACTGCGTATAATATGACCCATCACTGGCAGAGTGACCTTTTAATGCTATGGATCAATGGAAATGGAAATATATAAAAAAAATACCATCAGAGTCCATTAACCTTTTTGCCAAGAACCAAAGGAGTGCCATTAGTTAAAGAGTTAAAAGAAATAACCCTTCAGCAGCTATGGATTGCAACACCCAACTGTCTACTCTGCTCTAATATATAAATTACATGACATCCTATAGCCTGCATAAAACGAACTCCATGAACTGTTTGAGAGAAGGGGCCCTTAGGGAGCTCTGCCTCTGTATTCTTTTGTTGTATCCAAAAATATAAGAAGTTACACGTCTCATACTTTACAATTGATCATCTAATCAGCATAATAAAATAATACTCTGCAATTTAACACTTCTCTGTAATATATAGTATGTTTCGTGGACCCAGGACATACTTGAAAACGAGGGAAATCTCAATGCATCATTCCTGGTAAAATATTTTATAAATAAAAAATTACATTAAACAAAATGTATATATATATATATATATATATATACATACACACATTTATATATTTGTGATTCAAAAATGTATATTTAAAGAACTTTACATATCATAAAATAACACACCGGTCTTTTCAGCAGAAGGTAATTGCTTTTTTTACCAATAGTATTTTTTTTCTGCAGGCAAAGTATGAAAATGACCTAAATCCTAAACAATATTCAGCCCATTTATTAAATATTCTATTATAATTGTGTACGGTCCATGTAGTTGCAAGCAGATGGCCTCTCTTACCCTATGTGTTTTTTCCTCAGCTCAATGGTCCTCTCCTTGGGTAGTGGCTCACACATTCTGGCTGTTGTTGGCACAGAGAAGTTGGATGTTCCTGTGTCTGTCGTGTTATTCTCGGTCTCGCTGACACTGAGAGGTAGGAGACAAAGTGCTCCGCAAGCTCATTCCATAACTCTATTTATAAGCTAGCTCTGCTTTCCAGCACCCTGCCTCCTCCACTCCCCAATCCCCGCCTCCCCTCACCATTAACCCAGGCAGCCAGCAGCCCAAAGCACAGCACACTGACAGCTTTTTAATGCCAAGTGTTGTATCATTGCAACTGCAGGGTTTCAGCTCTAGCCTCTATTCCTACATTTACCAGTTCAAGCATAGATACCTTATTAAATGGATTGCTCTAGAAAAGACTTCCCCAAACTCCGGCCCTCCAGATGTCGCTGAACTACAACTCCCATGATTCTCAGCCTATCTAATTCATTCATAGAATCATGGGAGTTGTAGTTCAGCAACATAGGGAGGGCCGGAGTTTGAGGAAGCCTGCTCTAGAATGTTACTGGACATTATAGAATCAAGGGGATTCATTTCTGGGGATTATTTATTTATTTTTAGACTAGTTTTAAAGTTAATTTGCCAAGTGCAGAAAACATCTGTATGGTAATGATGTCATGTTATTATAAAGGATGGGAGGAAAATGCCCTGTCAGAAACCGGTGAAAAATGTCAATGGAAATAGTGAGAGAAATTGCTCCTAGAAAAAAAAAAAACAAGGTTAATGTTTAACAATTTTTAATGTAAAAAAAATTAAGCACTTTCTTTACATTACATGATCCACCTGTTGTTTATCAGACAGGCCTGACTAAGATTGCTGGGAATTACACTTGAAGACAACAGCTACTACTTGTGACTTCTTTCCTAAGTGGTTATGGTGCTTGGTATGTTCCTTTAATTCAGTCCCCTTCAGTCGTTGTGGCTGCCCAGGATTGTGACTCTTGTTTCTCTACTATAGCCCCTCTCCTCGCATGTCAGTATTGGGAGAGGGCTGCAAACAGTGTCTGGAACATGAATGTTCTGGTGCGCCCTAAGATTAATAGACCCTAACCCTAGCCATAAATTAAATAAAATATAAGTAGTTCTGAAACATGCATTTAGGGAAAGTAATACCAGCTTCAGTACTGGGATTTCTGAATTATCCAGAACCCACCAATGTCATTATTTTCCCCCAACACACACTTCACCATTATCGATATCATTGTATAGGAATGTGTTCTGTCCTTGCTCATCAATCAATGAATATTATGAACAATAACGGCCCAGACAAATCATAGCTTGAAGAAAGTCCAGAAGAAGGTTGAAATATTGCATTGACTGGTGGTATAAATCACTTCATCCAAATGCATTGTGTCTCCATGTGTGGACTTTATTTGTCATATGACTGGTGACATTCAGGTTATCAGCAAGTATTGCAAACATGTTCCAGAGTGATAGTATCCAGATTGGGACTGTTCCACTAGAAATGGGAGGCTAGGTAGTATGAGATATCTGAGTTAGATTCTTCATTCCACAACTGTAAACTTAGAAACAGTATTAGCAGAAGAAATACTATTAAAGAAAAAGAGTGTGAGACATCAATAGAAGGGACAAGTGAGGTCAGTAAGACGTTAAACCTTTGGGTGTTCAAAGAGGGTGTGAAAAGTTATTAACCCCTTAAGGACCAAACTTATGGAATAAAAGGGAATCATGACATGTCACACATGTCATGTGTCCTTAAGGGGTTAAAGTGTAAGTAAAATCGTGAGGGAGGTGTCCTTAGGTATGTGTTTGTCCTGGTGGTAAGGAGCAAGCTATGTACAATACTATATGCAATATGTTTTTTAGCGAAAAGTCCTCCTTGATTGGTAATGAAAGATTGCAGTTTATTGTGATATGTAGGTGCAAAAGGGAATCCCTGCTCAAAAATTCCAGGAGCTAAAAATCTGAACAAATGAACACACCAGTTAATCACTGAGGGCAGAGAAGTTCTGGGAAGAGGGAAAACAATTTCTACTGAAATAATGCTGCTTGCAACTGGGCCCTCACAGCAAAACGGTAGAACCCCAGAGGACACTTTTCAGTGTCTGGTAAATGTAATGACTTCTACTCTCTCCAAATTACTGATAATTATTATGTTCAAGCTGGGCTTTAAGGGAACACTATAGATCAGGAGCACAAACATGTATTCCTGACCCTATAGTGTTAAAAACACCATCTAACCTCACTGGTTTCCGTTGCCCCCCTAAAAATTGTAAAATCTTACCTTTATTCCAGTTTGCTGGTGCTGGCTCTGCCCCTGATCTGCCTCCTTTGGTTGACATCATCAGAAAGCAGAGACTGCCAACCATCCTGGCCAATCAGCATCTTCTCAGGGATAAAGTTCAGTGTCTCAATGCAGTGGGTGAAGACACTGAATGTCAGTGCTGCAGCACTGTGCAGCACTGCCACAGGAAGCACCTCTAGCAACCATCTAAGAAATGGCTACTGAAAATATCCCAAGGCTGTAATGTAAACACTGCATTTTAACTGTAAAGACAGTGTTTACAGCAAAAAGCCTGAAGGGAATGATTCTACTTACCAGAACAACTACAATAAACTGTAATTGTTCTGATGACTATAGTGTCCCTTTAACATAACACATTACATCCTTTAATGTTGAGCAGTGGTTGTTTAGAGGACGGAGGGGAAGAAAGGTGCCTGTTCTCAAGAAAATCCAACATAGACAATGCATTCCAGCACACATTTCTTAAATGTATGTATATATATATATATATATATATATATATATATATATATATTTCAGTTCTATGTGCATATTTATGTAATATTTTTACCTAATTAAGTCATTTTATTGATTGTAATTTGAGGGACCTGCCTGACAACCCAAGCCGAAAGTGCAGAGAATTTAATTTGCTAGCACTATATTTTACCCTGTAACTTTCTATGACACCCTAAAACCTGTACATGGGGGGTACGGTTTTACTCGGGGGACTTCGCTGAACACAAATATTAGTGTTTCAAAACAGTAAAACATATCACAGCGATGATATTGTCAGCGAAAGTGCATTTTTCACACTTTTACTGGTGATGTCATTGTTGTGATATGTTTTACTGTTTTGAAACACTAATATTTGTGTTCAGTGAAGTCTCCCGAGTATAACAGTACCCTCCATGTACAAGTTTTATAGTGTTTTTGAAAATTACAGGGTCAAATATCAGGCTTGATTTTGAAATTTGCAAGACGGGTTATGTTGCCTTTGAGAGCGTTTGGTAGCCCAGGAATGAGAATTACCCCCATGATGGCATACCATTTGCAAAAGAAGACATCCCAAGGTATTGCAAATGTGGTATGTTCAGTCTTTTTTAGTAGCCACTTCGTCAAAAACACTGGCTAAAGTTAGCGTTCATAATTGTTTTTTTTGCATTTTTAACACACAAACAAATATAAATGCTAACTTTGGCCAGTGTTTGTGACTAAATGGCTACTAAAAAGACTGGACATACCCCATATTCAATATAGGGATGTAATAGCAAGGATCATTTTTTTCCACGCTAAGGAACACATTGTCCGGGAAAGCAGGAACGCAGAGCTTCCAGAAAAGTACCACAACATTAAGATCTTTGCAGACCTGTCGGTGGAGACGCTGCAGTTTAGAAAGGCCTTATCACAGATCACCACGACTCTTCGTACTCAAGGCCACAACTACAGGTGGGGAGACCTGGCCAAACTATTGGTGTACCACCAAGATGAGTATGCCCTGCACTCCATCACCGCCCTGGCACAGGGTCAGCAGAAGCTCCGGGACTGGGGTATACCTGCAACTGAACCCTCAGGCACAGAGCCAGCTAAGATACCTAGAATGAATCGGTCAGGGCGTGATGACGTAGGTGACATCGAGGAGGTGGAGCTACGGTGGGCGGAAATGTACACGGCAGGGGGAGAAGGCGAAGCGAAGTGAAATGAAGTTTAATGGTGTGGAACTAGAAGCCAAGAATAATGGAGGGCTAGAGCTCAGAGAATCTGTCATCAGACGGGTGCCATATATGGAGCAGTGAATAACAAACGAAATAGGAAAAAGACAAGAAAAGAGGCAGAATGAGATCGGATATAAAATCATATTAATAAACTGCAAGAGAGGGCTGAAAAAGCAGGGGCGCTCAGGTGACACCATTCGGATGAGCTATTAAGGTATTGTATTGATTATACTAACTGCTGGGCACAATTAAAGTAAAAAGTACTGTAACAGAGAGGTGGTGGAGAGGGTTTTAAAATGACAAGGTCCTATATAAAAGGGATCTAATAAGGGGCAGTTTTGGCCCTATTCTAAGAGTGGTCCAATAGCAGTCTTCGTTGGTTTGTTAAGCAGTAAAAATAAAAACGCTTTAAAATGGCATCTAAGAAGCAAATAAAACCGCAAGATAAAAAAGATGATACTCAGCCGACTAGATTGTCAGGCTTTTTCTCACCGAATAAAGAAAAACTACTTACCAAAGATAATAGTACAATGTGTCAAGACCAGAATACTCAAACGTCAAATGCTCAAGCTACAGAGCAAATGCAATATGTCTCCCAAGATTTTTTGGTCGCTAGGCTGGATGAGCAATTAGCTCATTTCTCCAATCAGATAATTAACAGCTCCAACATAATCAAAATAGAGATGGCGGACATAAACTCAAAATTGAGCTCTGCATTGGATAAAATTACTACTATAGAAGACCAAATAGTGATCCTCCAAGAAGCCAATAAACAAACAGAAGGCGATATTCACCAGATCAATTTGAAGCTTAGAGATCTGGAAGACTGTTCAAGGAGGTGCAATGTGCGTTTTAGAAATATATCAGAATCTATTACCCAGGACCAATTAAAAGACTTTCTAATATCGTACTTTCAAGAAGCAGGATTCCAGAGGGACGACCAGTACCCTATAATTGAAAGGATACACAGATTACAGAAACCGAATGAGGTCCCCTCGCATTATCCAAGAGACGTTATTGTATGTTTTTTTTCTTATTCACACAAACAGCAAGTGCTGAAGATGCTCAGGGACAAAGGAACTTTCTCTGAGAAATATAAGGATATCACCACATTCCAAGATCTCTCTAGCCAAACAAGAACATGGAGAAAGACTTTTCACCGAGCTTTAGAACCCTTGAAGCAACACAATATGAAATATAA